AGAGAGAGTAAAGGAGAGAGAGTGAGAGAGATAATAATCAAACATCCTACCCGAAGCTAACAACTTCCTACTGGTGGCCGCCGCCAAAGTCAGATTCTCAAGGTGAAGGTCATGTTCATGGCCGTGAAGGTCATGGTCATGGCCGTGAAGGTCATGGTCATGGCCGTGAAGGTCGCCGTATCCTCCCGCTGTGACGTCATGCGTGCCGTGCAGGTCATTGTCGTGAGACGAGTACACATGCGTCAACACCGAGTGGGCGTGGTCTCCCTTGTGCTCATGCATATGTATGACGTGTAACGTCTCAACCACGATGCTCCGGAACCAGACGCAGATGTTGGTGGCACACATGTGCATCAGGCCGAACCGGGCCAGCTTCTTGTACCTGTGGATACACATCTGGTGAAAATTATAATGATGATGATGATGATAATAATAATAATAATAAGGGCCAGCTTCTTGTACCTGTGGATACATACCTGGGGGGGGAGACGACACGTTTTAACACCTTTGAAAACAGTATTTTTAACACACGTGAGAACATTTAACGTACAGATGAGAACAACATTTTAACACATTTGAGCACATCGTTTTAACGCAGCTGTGAACACCGTTTTAACACATTGGTAGACAGCATTTCATCACACCTGAGTATAACAATTATTTTAACACACCGAAGATCCTTTAACATACATGAGAACAATATTCTAACGCATATGAGAGTAATATTTTAACTCGATTGAGAACACCATTTTTTAACACACCTGTGGACATTATAATTTAAACATGCGAAGAACATATAAACAAAAAGAACATTCAAACACCCTTGGGTTCACGATTTTAATAAAAACTGAGAATATAATTCTAACACACCTAAGAACATCATAACATGTCTGACAAAAAAAAATTTAACAGATTTGCTAGCATCATTTTTAAAACACTCGCGAATAACATATCAAATAATGTTTTAACATACCTAAGATCAACATTTAAACATACCTAAGAGCATAATTTTAACTTACTGTTTGGATCTTTGAAGAAGTTTTACACGCATAAAACCAATATTTAAACATACCTAAGAACAACATTTTACCACCCCCTCTCTCTCCCTCCCTCCCTC